CGGCAAGTCAGGTGGGGAACGTTGGAGTCTGCAGTCACTGGAGCAAGCAAGCCTCATGTTCGCTTCCAGCTGCCTGGCTGCCGGCCGCCATCTTGGCTGACAGTTAATTTGCATAAGGATATGCTGATTAGCCAATGGGAAGGGTAGCGGTCATACGCCAATTACCATGTTTCTCTTTTATTAGTGTAGATATGGTTTACATTATAGAAAATAATACAGTCAGGTGTTTTTATAGAAAAATCCAAGACTTTCAGGGACAACCAGTGTTCAGTCTTCATTTGGAAATTGAGACCCAATAATGTGTACTGAAGAGCTGTGTTCTAATTCCACCTGACCAAGTCAGGGTTTTAACCCACTACCTGGCCTTCTAATTTTACTCTATATCTGTGTTTTTACCCTGTTCTGAATGGGCTATGCATTTGCATTAATTCGTCTAATAAACATTTATAGAGCACTGGCAATATGCCAGAAGCCTTGCTAGTTGGTAGTAGAGAATACAAGGTATAGTTGCTGATCAAAGGAATTTATAGACTAGCAGCAGAGACAGTCAAGTAAGTGACCCAGCGGTTGTCATATCCCACTTGAGACTTGAGATAAAATTATACCCATGGTGCTCTGGTAGCACAGAAGAGGGGCATTTAAATCAGAGTAGGTAACCCTTGAGCCGCCTCGTCAAGGATGAGGGGCATGAGCTAGGAAGGGCATACCCAGCATGGAGATTGGGAACCTCAAAAGCACAGAGGCAGGAAGTAGCCTGGTGCAGTCATTCCTGACTAACAGATGGATGGTTGGAGCCCAGGGTGGGCATGCTCAGGGGAGCTGGAGAGAAGGCTAGAGCGGGAGGCAGGAGATCAACTAAAGAACTTGTGTGCATGTATGTATAACCCATGGACACAGACAATAGGGTGGTGAAGGCCTGGGGCAGGGCATGGAGGTAGGCTAAAAGGAGTCAATGGGGGGAAAGGGGGGCATATGTAATACTTTCAGCAATAAAGATTTAATTTATAAAAAACAAAAACACAAAGCTGGGTGTAGGAAAGGGTGTAGTCTGAGGACGAGACCTGGATTCTCCCCTGTTCCCACCTAGACTCCGTGTGTCCTCAGGCTTGCCGTCTGGCCTAGTGTCCTCATCAGTATGACCAGAGAACTGGGAGAGTTGTTCCCAAACCATGTTCTGGAAACATTGTCCTGGTAGATGCAAAAAGATATGTTATGAAAAATTGTTCTTTCCTTAAATCGTTAGGGGAAGTTTGACTACCATATTCTCCTCTAAGATTCACCATGGCATCAGCATGTTAAGTTTCCAGTCCTCCAGTGAAGAAACCACTTCAGGTTTCTCTAACTCGGCATTTGTCAAGTTATTTGAACTTAGAGCCAATTTCTTATAATATCACTGTCAGTATCATGCTACAGAGCCCCATTTTAGCAAAAAATGAACAAGGCCTCAAAGATCCACATGTCTTCATTTATTTAGTCATTCAGTTTTTGAAAGAGCTGGTCACACACCCTCTCTGTGTTTTAGATTGCTTGTGTATCCCCGTAAGAAACTTTGGTTGTTATTATTTCATAGCATCAGCTATCCTGGGAATTTTTTTCATTTTCTCATTTTTCATGTCATGCCCAGACTTGATTACCTGGTAATAAGTCACGAGAAATGAAAATTGAGTTGTTTCTGTATAAATATCAATCATTTATGATATATTTAATAGAAATTACAATGAATAAAATCAGGGTTTTACTTAGAATTCATTTAATATAGGCAGATACCGGAATTAATAATGAATCAATGAATCATTTGTGATGCCAAAGAGATCATATAATAAAAACAGAACTGACCTTGTTAGAAATCTGATATTTTCAACATTTATCTGTCAGAGCCACTGATTTGGAAATTATTATAAATTCGTGAAAAATAGGAACTTCTTTCCCTTGTAAAAATACCCATCATTTGGCAAACGAGTGTCATTTTCCTTGAGGAGAATGTAGTGACTGGCTATCCAGAGTGCTGCCATGACAAGGTAAACCAAGCAAATAGCTGGAAAATTGTCTGTAATCACAGCATCACAATGGTTGGTGAGCACAACCATTCACATTAACCATGGCATTCTCCCTACTTCTCCTGTAGGTCCTGTTTACCCCACATCCTTATCTCCAGGGATTGGTCCTCTTTGCCTGCATCTCCCTTCCACTTTCACTGTCATTAGCACAGTGCTGGTCACCCGGAAGCACTGGGATAAATACAGACCAAACTGGTCCACTCAGAGAGGTTTCCAAATGCAGGGATGTCTGTGTCTAGCACCCCTCCCATTCGACAATCGGGGTTTATTGATGTGCGTTACTGTTATTAGTCCTGTTCCTTTTATTAGTAGTATAGTCCTGAAGATCCTGAGAAATTATAAGCAAGTAGCAGCCGGGGAGGGTGGGAGCTGGATGAAAGGAGAAGAATGCCAGGCTTGCTTTTGAGAAATTGGTAATCTGGTCAGGCAGCCCCAGCACACCTGGGAGGCCTGGAACAATTACAGTGTTTATTTCCCAGCAGAAGCGCGGGGCACCCAGTGAATACTCGAGTGATGAGGGCCCGTAGATTAGCGGCGCCATCACATTATCCTCGGTTATTAGAAGAGTAAATTGAGTCATAAGAAAGGAAGAGGTTACCCAAACCTGCCCCGGGCTGATTACCAGTGGCATAATTGAAAGGAGAGCCAGGCCCTGTCCCTCAACAATCTGCGAGATCTCCCCCGCTCATCGAGCCCGCGCTCATCTTCCCGCAGAGCTTTGGGTTTGACACTGGCTTTGTCAGGAAGGCTGAAATGGACTCTCCTTTGTTAATTGCTGTCCACATGTTGTAGGATATCCTGAGTTCTGAAGCAGGATGAGGATTTTAGATTCTTCTTAGCAGCGTGGGGACATGTAGCTAAGCAGAATCAATTCCTGTCACTCACACACAAATACAGAGAAACGGGATTATGGATCAGGGGAATCTGCAGTGTTTTAATCTTAAAATCAATACAGAAAAGGAAGTTGAACTTGTGGGAATTCTATAGAGATGGTAATTTGGTTTGCCTTACCGAATATAACTGTTCTTCCTTTTCTCCTTCTGGTTATTTTACTCTGGGGGAGATTACAGGGGTGGAGTGTGGGGGGCGGGGGGAGAGGGGAAAAAGACAAGAAATCCCTACAAGCAAATAATCTTGAATAAACATACACATGTAAACACATAACAAGCAGATCCTCCATTGTGTAGAAAAAAGCTGCATACTTTTATCCATTCTTTTTATGTTTAGAAGAAAAAGACAGTTAACCAAAAGCCTGTGCCCCACTGTCTGCGTTTAAGCATAATAAAATGCCGTTGATCTTTCATGGGTCACTGTCAGAATGGAAAAAATTGTTTTTTCCAATCTTTACTTTATGGCCAAGTCTGCCTATGCAATTCTGTCTGATTAAATGCGTATTCAACAAACCATTTATTGACCAAAGGATTCCAAGCTGCTAAGCATGTGATTAATATTTACCCCAGTGTAATTCTGCTCCTTTTGAAAGATGAACTAATGGTTTACATAACTCAGTCTTTTCTTAAAGAGTGAAAAATCACTGATTATGCCTCTTTTCAGACATAACACTGGTTTACTGCAGAGTGCTCCCTGTCTCTATGTCGGAGTCTATTTGGACATTGCTTCTACAGTGGCAACAACAGTAGCAAGTACTGTGATCTCATGAGAAAATGATGGGGCTACAGGCAGAACTCAGGTCTAGCCGGGAGGCAGAACGGTGTAGTTAAAAGAGCAAAGCCTGGAGCCTTCGCTTTGTGTGCTACCTGTTTCGAAGCCAGTTTGTTCATCTTTAAACAGGGATGAATACAGGATTCACCCAGCAGGTGGGCGTGTTGAGAGGATTAAGTGAGGTGAAGCATGTAGAACCCTAGCACTGTACCTTGTACTTGCAAGAACCAGTAAATGTTCATGATCGTGACGATCATTATGTGTCTCAGGTGAGATAACATATGCCATGTATGTAAGAACATTCTAGAGGCTGTAAAGCACAATACAAATGGTGGTTGTTATTCATAATAGATTGATGGTTTTGAAACTTTAAAAATAAGTCATGGAAGGCTTTTTCTTTGTGCTGCCTGCCATAGGTCCCTCATCTCAAAGTACAGACCTGGAGGTGATAAATTCAGGCCCAACTGAATATGTATTCCCTTTATGAAAAGCCACAGAGATAGCTGTGACTACCCAGAATTCCATGAAATCAATTTGAAAATCCCTAGCCTATGTCCTTTCACAGAAAACACTTCTCAGATCTTGGGAAGACCAGCTGTATGTAAGATACTTATTTTGTTGTCATTTTTAATCAATACTTTTAAATGCCCTCCCAGGAAAGCTTGAGTGTTTGAAATGATTGCATTATTTCAGCCATCTTTCCTTGTCCTACCTATTACTTGAGTAAAAACAAACAAACAAAAAAACAACAACTCCTGAGCCTGTGTCCTCTCTGTGTCCTTGGCAGAGCACAATCATTGTGGAGAAGACAGTGCAAGACCTGCTGAATCTGATGCATGACTTGAGCGCGTACTCAGATCAGTTCCTCAACATGGTGTGTGTGAAGCTCCAGGAGTATAAGGACACCTGCACGGCGGCCTACAGGTAGGACCTGAGCAATGTCACTGGCAACCTAACTGTTGTCTGGTTGGTGAGGCTGCCTTCAGAGCCTCACTCGAAGGAAAGGACCACCTTTAGTTGGTCAAGGGGCCTGAGGAGAACATGTGCCACAGAAAGAGTCTCCTGGATGCTGTCGTCATCCCCCAGAGGGAGGGAAAAAGACAGAGGCACAGAGGGACAGAGCCACTGAGGACTGCCATCGGTGGCTGAGATGAGGTGTCAGCCTTGATTTCCATGAAAGCTTAGAATCCTAAGATTCATCTTCCTTGAGGACATTCCAGAACTTGATTAGTCCATCATGTGATTCTAAACGATCTTTAAAGTAAAGCAATTTCAAACTCATAGGAACTCTTAATAATCTATAATATGATTTCCTTTTACTTCTTTCAAATGTGTTCCTCTTACTGTTTGATCTATAGCCTTCCTACTGTCATGAAAAGACAGTTACACTGTTTTTAGCATCAGCAGAAATGAACAACCATTGTTATGAACTTGAAAACCTTTAGTTTTTCCCTCTAAGTTCTTTTCCCTGGGTTCAAAAAATCTCTTTGAGCTCATGGAAAGGATCATAGCACTTCTCATGAAAAGCTAATTATAGGAGCAAATTATGATCTGGTTGACAAAACCTAACACAATTAGGGGAGAAAGGAATGTATAATAAAATACTACATTTTGTATGATATATAATTAAACCTAGGCAGGTAAAGTACAGTACATAATCAGGTACTACTTGTGCAGCACAGAATATAAGAGCAGAGGGAATGAAAGAGAGAAAGGGTGATTGGAGTCTGGAAAGATTTCAGAGACGATGAGCTATGTGCTGGGGCTGAGAAAGACAAATGCGATGTAGGAAGTTGCAAAGAATAAGTAAGGGCTTTGCAGGGGTGAAGAGGAAGCACAGCGCAGTTGCTTGGTATTCAGAGGGGGAATGGAAGGAGGTTTGGATGGAACAGATGTCCTAGTAGAAGGTTGTGAGAGATAATATTTAATAGGAAAAGTAAGACCAAATAACAAAGGGTCTTAAAAGGTAAGACTTGAACATTTATATATTTTATTGATTTTTTACAGAGAGGAAGGGAGAAGGATAGAGAGTTAGAAACATCAATGAGAGAGAAACATCAATCAGCTGCCTCCTGCATACCCCCTATTGGGGATGTGCCCACAACCAAGGTACATGCCCTTGACCGGAATCGAACCTGGGACCCTTCAGTCCGCAGGCCGACGCTCTATCCACTGAGCCAAACCAGTCAGGGCAAGACTTGAACATTTAGATGTTGCATAGTAGATGATAAGGAGTCATTATAAGTGAGCCGGGAAGCAGTGGTCAGAAAGATGAATCTGGCCGAAGAGTATACAACTTAGATTAATACTTTACCACCTTCCAGCAGTAAGTATTGTTTATCCACAGAACATCAACCACCTCATTGAGAGATGCGCTTCCAATGATATTTTACTTTATTTGTTTAAAAGTGATTCATAAAATTATAACATATTTGCCTTTAAAATATACATGTAATCAGTAATTATGCTATAATCAATTGTGTACTAACGAATAATTATTGTGTACTAAATAATAATAATAATAATGGCAATTCAAACAAAAATGTTAAAATTTAGTCTTGTGGTAACAGAAAATTTTAATTTATCTTAGATTTTAATTTGTACAGTTTTTGACAGAACACTACAATAGAGTAATCAATAAGATCCTCTCAAGCATAAATATATATTTCTAATGGATGAAATTCAGTGAGGAACTAAAATAGAAATAATAATTCCAAGAGAAAAGTGAACAATACCAACTGTCAGAGAGGACCTTATTCGAATATATTTAATGTGTATAATGGTGGATATCAAATCCCTATGGTGTTGAGATTCCACTGGGTACACTTAAAATAGTGCTTTTAAAGTGTCACTGTTTATAATATTAAACAAAGTATATTCTTTGCTACCATTTAAGTTCATACTGAAAGATACTAAATATCAATTTTTAAATGTGGGGAGGAGAATATCATTTTTCAAAATTCCTTCTCTAACTGGTACACAAATACAAATTTTAAAAGCCACTGCTCATCGTTAGTTCTCTCTGATTAGAATTTCTGGGCCACAGAGTTATATTTTCAGCTTTACAAAACCCACCTCCAAAGTGATTGTACCAACGTCACATCAACCAAATGAGACTCAAATAGCATATTTTAAATATTAAAACAAAATATTAAAAAAACCTTTAAAATTGGTTGCATTTTAATAACATTGTTTTAAGTTTACTGTTAAGTTTGTCTTTAACCTCCATTGAATTTTAAGGTTTTTTTACAAAAGCAAATCATATCCTTTTTTTGCTTATATTTCATTATGGCCAACCAATAATTCTAACAAATAATAATGCTGATGAATATTAATAATAATGGAGAAGTTACATAACCTGCCCAAGATAAGGTAAAGTTGATTCTAGAATCTAAACACCGTTGATCACCATTTATATTGTTGTTCTTGTGATTTGTTTTTTTATTATTTTTTTAAATAAATTTTTATTGATTTCAGAGAGGACAGAAACATCAATGATGAAAGAGAATCATTGATTGGTTGCCTCCTGCACACTCCCTACTGGGGATCGAGCCCTCAATCCGGGCATGTGCCCTTGACCGGAATTGAACCCAAGACCCTTCAGTCCATAAGCTGACACTCTATCCACTGAGCCAAACCGGCTAGGGCTGTTCTTGTGATTTAGAAAGAAGTTTTTTTTTTAACTTCATACAGATTGGCATCTTACTGGCTGTAGATCTTTTCCTCATCATTTATGATCCTGCCTCTCAGTATGTCACGTGATGGGAAGCTCTCCCCATCCACAAAGCAAGCTGGTCCTTTTGAGCAATTTCTTGTTTTGAAATGATGTCCCCCTATCCATTGTGCATAGACCTTTTTCCCAGGAGTGATTCCAAATTAGTTTAATCCATATACATGAAAACCCTTCATATGTGTGAGGTTGGCTATCAGAGTCCATATTGTCTGCTTGCCCCCGCCCCTACCCCAGACTGAACATTCTCGGTTTCTCATAAACCATCCCAGTCTTCTTTCTCTCTTGCCCACTAGCCTGGCTTGCCTGGCTTATAAAGAACTCCACACTGAGCCTAGCATCCTCACATCAACCAAATGAGACTCAAATAGAGTATTTTAAATATTAAAACAAAATATTTAAAAAAACCTTTAAAATTGGTTGCATTTTAATAACATTGTTTTAAGTTTACTGTTAAGTTTGTCTTTAACCTCCATTGAATTTTAAGGTTTTTTTTACAAAAGCAAATCATATCCTTTTTTTCCTTATATTTCATTATGGCCAACTAATAATTCTAACAAATAATAATGCTGATGAATATTAATTATAATGGAGAAGTTACATAACCTGCCCAAGATAAAGGTAAACTTGATTCTAGAATCTAAACACCATTGATCACCATTTATATTATTGTTGTTCTTGTGATTTGTTTTTTTTTTATTATTTTTTTAAATAATATTTTATTGATTTCAGAGAGGAAGGGAGAGGGAGAGAAAGAAACACAAATGATGAGAGAGAATCATTGATCAGTTGCCTCCTGCACGCTCCCTACTGGGGATCGAGCCCTCAATCGGGGCATGTGCCCTTGACTGGAATTGAACCCAGGACCCTTCAGTCCATAAGCTGACACTCTATCCACTGAGCCAAACTGGCTAGGGTTGTTCTTGTGATTTAGAAAGAAGTTTTTTTTTAACTTCATACAGATTGACATCTTACTGGCTGTAGATCTTTTCCTCATCATTTATGATCCTGCCTCTCAGTATGTCATGTGATGGGAAGCTCTCCACATCCACAAAGCAAGCTGGTCCTTTTGAGCAATTTCTTGTTTTGAAATGATGTCCCCCTATCCATTGTGCATAGGCCTTTTTCCTAGAGTGATTCTAAATTAGTTTAATCCGTATACATGAAAACCCTTCATATGTGTGAGGTTGGCTATCAGGGTCCATATTGTCTTCTTGCCCCCGCCCCTACCCCAGACTGAACATTCTTGGTTTCTCATAAACCATCCCAGTATTCTTTCTCTCTTGCCCACTAGCCTGGCTTGCCTGGCTTATAAAGAACTCCACACTGAGCCTAGCATCCAGGTGTGCTCTTTGTACTTCAGCAGCACCATCACCTCCCCTATGCAGGATCCAGTGCTGGACACAGTGCTTCTTCTTACATCCTGTCATTGCATTTGTCAGCTACTGATTGAGCGTTTACCAGACCCAAGACAGGTTTGAGTGTGTGGGGACAGCAGAGTCAATCAGTCACAGATTATACCTTTAATGAGCTTACACTCTTGATAGAGGATAAAAAGGGAAATAGGGGACAAAGAAAGGGGGCATGTGTATATCCACAGCATTAGCTTATAACAGAAAATACAGTAAGATGTTCCAGGGGGAAGAAATTACCTGAGGAGGACAAGAAAGGCCCAGGGGGGCGGGGGGGCGGACATGAAGGAGGCCTTGTGAAGGAAACGGAAGGTTTAGACTTGACTTAGGCTTATGGAGCTGAAGGAAGAAAGGAACCAGAGAGATGTCAGGGAGGTGGGGAAGAGTTAAAATAGGAAGAACAAATGATGAATTTGGAGCTTTGGAAAGGAAGGCGGAGCCAAAATGGTGGAGGATCTTGAGTGCCAGGAACTTGACCTAAATGAGGTGGGAGCTGGTGAAGGTGAGTTAAAGGGGAGTACCAGGTGCTTTAGGGAGATCCTCCTGAGCTTTGTGTAAGATGGATCGGACAGCAAGTGTGTGGAGGTAGAAGAGGGGCAGTGAGTGCTCGAATCAGAGGAGAGGCCGGGTAGGGACAGAGAGTTCAAGAATCATTAAGGAAGTAAATTTGTGGGACATGGCCACTGCTTGGCTGGAGGGGGTAGGAACTGATGTAAGAAGAAATAGTTGAAATTAGGCTATTTTTTTTATGCTGTATTTGTAGGGATTTTTTTTTTTACCTC